GGTCTCCAGACTTATCCTGGCCTCCCACCACTCTGTTTTCTGACAATCAGGGTGCCCATTGTAAAACAGAAGTCAAGACCCTCTTCCTTCCCTGCTCAAGTTCTCTGGGGCTCCCACTCATTCGAGTGAAAGGCCTAGTCTTCCCACGGCCTATGGAGCCCTGCATGACCCAGCTCCAGCCAGCCTCTCCACCATCATCCCCTCCACTGTCCCCAGACTCTCTGCTTCAGCCACATGGGCCTTCTCCTTGCTCTTCTCTTTCCCTCTGCCTTGGCCATCCTTCCCTAGGCCTCCACACAGCTCACCCTCACCTCATTCAGTCCTCTGTCCCTATGCCACCTCCTGGCAGGGGCCTGCCTGGACCACCTTCCCTCAAAGAGCCACAGCCTCCTCCCTGGGACTCTGTAGCCCCCTGAGCTGTTTCATTTCTTCCATAGCACTTATCAGTTGACCCATTAGATTTCATATTATGTTTACAATATATATCATATTTGATTTTACTTGTTTATTGTTTCCCCCATTAGACTACTGATCGCCACGAGAGCAGAGACTTCGTCTTATTCACCACTCTATTCCCAGCATGTAGCACAGTGCCTGGTATACAGTAGGTGCTGCATATATGTGTGGAATGAATGACTACAGATTAAATGAACAGGTACCTTTGAGGCCCTCTTGCCCTCCTGCCCCCTCCTTGGTCATGTGCGAAGTGAGCAAATCTTCCGCAGGGATGAAAGGGAGTAGTGATGTCACTACTCACCTCCAGGGGTCCTGAATACTTAACAATGGGACCAGCCCTTCTCTAAATCCTCAGCAGGTATTATCAGATGAAACTAGAAACAACCCAGAAGGTGGTACGATGATGGGCCCTAGATGATAAAGGGGCAACTCAGGCACTGGGAGATTATATAGCTTGTCACCATCACATACAGAAAGCGACCTGAGGACATTTGAATCCAGAATCTGGACTCTTAACCATTAAGCCAATAATATAGCTTCCCAGAGAGAAGACCCAGAGTCTGACTTTCACACCCAGTTGGTCACTAATTCATTTCAGAACTTCTCCTGAGTGCAGGTGTGTGAGGAGGCAGAGGGAGGGAGCAGTAGTGGACATAGAGGGAGTGTTTAGAGGTAAGGCCTTCCCTCTAAAGGCCGGCCTGCCTGCCTCCCTCCATCCCTCCCTCCGCATTTTGGGTCCCCAGATCCTGACAGCCTCAGAGGAATCCTATGCCAGATCATCTCCCACTAATTGGTTTAGCAAACTATGCTTATCTGGGCAAAGCTTGGGCCCAGTGAGTTCAAGATTAGGGAAAGCAGGATTCATGGTTTACTGCTCTGCTGCCCACAGGGTCAAAGAAGACAGGGTTAGGACTTTAATTGGCTTAACAATCCTGAGTGGCTTAACAACTCCGAGGGTTAGGGCTGGGGAGCCAGGGAGGAATGAAAACGCAGGTTGCTGTCCAGCTCACAGCCAGCTTCATGTCCCACCGAAGGATTTTCTCAGGGAGTCATCTGTCTTTGTGTGAGTCCATGGCTCCGGGATCCTCCCATGCAGCCAGTGTGGGGGTGCCAGAGATAGGACTTGGCCTTGGGAGTTGGAGAAAGCTGGGTTGGCACCTCCCCTCCCCCTACTTCCTCAGTGGATGAACTTGGACAAGTTACTTGACTTCTCTGAGCCTCATTTTCTTATCTGACGGGGTATATCAATTGCCACCAGAGGGGAGGTTTCAGGGTAAGATGAGAGCCAGGGTCTGGAGCACCTCATAAGGGGCCTGTTGGGTAGGCAGGATCCATGAATTCCTTCCCTTCCTCTGCCTCCTCAGAGCCCCATTTTGTGTTTAAAATAATAATAATGCCCATTCCACAGGGTTGTTTGGGAACAGAATCCAGCCTAATCAGTTGAACCCATGTGCCGTCACAGGTCTGTGTTACCTGGCTCCTCAAAGTACACAGACTTTTGATTCAGCATTGTATAAGCTTCAGGAGTTGCAAGTAATTTTTATAATTCAAAGTATTTTATTCAGAATTGAGGGTGTGGGATTAGAAGGCGGACTGACCAGTCTCCCAGGTTGGATCCTGTAGGACTCAGACATACCTCTCTTCCCTCATTACTCCAGGTTCTACCACTCAGAACATCTGCACCAAGGCCTGCCAAACAGTGAACATGTTCATTGTGGGAACATTTCACGTGGTAAGCAAACATATGCCAACATTGCTTAATTTCTAGGAATGCCAGCCCCAGTGTCTTCTCTCTGTCTCGTCTGGGTTTTCCTCCATTAGCCAGACCCTCAGCCATTTTAGAATCCAGAGCTTTGGGGACAGGGGTCCAGAGGCTTTAGCTCTGATAACCAGTCCCAGTGTCAGAATTCCAGAAAGAGAAGGCTCCTAAGGTCATCAGATCTGATAGTCTCATTTTACATACAGGGAAATTGAGGCCCAGAGATGGGAAGAGTCTTACCCAAGGTCACCTAGCAAGCTAGTTACAACCCTCGATGGAGCCATGGGCTTCCTGATCCTCGCCCCCAGTCCAGCATGATCCTCACAATACACTTTCTCCCCATCCTCGCCCACAATGTTCAAATCCCTCCCCCTCCTTTCACATTCTTATCTCAGTGCAGCAGAAGCTCTGGCTTCTATCTCCTGGAATCTTGGGCTCTCAGACTCATAATTCTTTGAGCTTGGGGAACACTTTAGTGGCAGAACTGCAGGGTGGATAAATTGAACTTGGGCTTTGAAGACAGAGAGTCCTAAGTCCCAGCTCTCCTACTCCTTAGCTGTGTGACCTTGGGCAAGGATGCCCCCTTTCTGAGCCTCCATTCCCTCAGCTGTTAAGTAGGAATGACAGTACAATCACATCCCAGGAGTATTAGGAGGGACACAGGAGATGAAACAGGTAAAAAATCAACCAACAGGCTTGACACAAAGGGAGTGCCTAATAAAATAATTGTTACAGAACTATAAGTTAAGGCTCTCATACTCCTAATGCCTAAGTGAAATGGTCCAGAGGTGATCAAAGGGAATGAAACTGGACAAACTGAAGCAAATATCCCCTGTCTAAATTGCTACAGGCCTGATACTCCTAGATTCCTTTTTTTTTTTTTTTTACCCAAGAGAAGCTAGAACTCCGGATTTTTGAAATATTATACAAGCCAAACAAGACACTTCTGTAAGCCATATTCAACCCCAGGATCATTAGTTTGTCATCCCTGCAAAATCATCTCATCCCAACCCCCTCACTTTACAAACGGGGGAGAGTAGAAATAGCTCTTGTATCTGAGAAGCCATGGAGCTTGAGGGACCCTCAGCCATCTTCAGCCACTCTCTTGAGACCTTCACTCCTACCCCCATGGTCATTTTTTGCCCTGTTTAAGGGAAACTCAGTTTATCTTCAAGAAAGAAGTATTTGTTTCTTGTAAGAAGATTCTGAACAAGGGGAGGAGGGGGTTTGAGGTAGCCAGTGAGTTGAGGGGCAGCTGGCCCACTTTAGGCTAAAGGGAAAGGGGGATGAATTTGGCTGCCAAGAATAGGAAGTTACCATTTCAGAATCTAAAAATATCTATCACCATCTGTCCACTCGGGCACAGAATGATAAATGCAGATTAGTTCCTGGATGTAGACATGAATATTTTTATGTGTCAAGCTAATAATAATAACACCACCTTGTGTGGATAGAGCTCCACCTCCGTATTCCCCCAGGGCAAGCTAAATGGAATATACACATCATCTCAGCAAGCCATGGATGGGGAAACCAAGGCACAGAGAAACTCAGCAACACAACAAGGGTGACACAGCAAGTGAGCAGCTGGGACAAACCCTGGGAGTCCTGTTTCCAACCCTCAGCCCAGTACTGAATCTTCTGAGTTAGGCAGAATGTGTTAACAAGTAGCAGAATAAATATAACAACAGCAGTAATCACACTTTACATCTCTATAGTGACTTTGACTTTTTCTGTGCTTTCCCCACATCTGTGATCATGATAATCTATTACATTCCTAAAATACATTACAGTCTGCAAGGCCTTTGCATAGACCTCCTCTCACCTGATCATCCCAACAGGTAAGAAAAGGTGATGGTAGACCAGTGAGATGAGATAAGGAGGGATTCTCCCTTGTTTCACAGGTGAGGAAACTAAGGCTTGGAGGGAGGTTTATCTAAGATCACATAGTGGGCAAGTTCATTCTCTCAGTGCACAGTAGAGCCTAAGTTACCAGAGCAATTTTGATTCAAGGGGAACCCCAGGTTCAGAATTCCCCCACTGGCCCCCGCCTCCCCCGTCTCCAATTAGCTCAGCTCAGCAGACAGACTGGAAGTGGGCTGCTTGTACAAAGCCTCAGTTTAGTTTTACTGCCCTGGGATTAAAGGACAGCTAGTGGCCATCTAATCTCAGATTGAAGATCCCAAATCCCTTTGGCCCTGTTGGGGTAGGGGAGAGAGTGGGGGACTCCTAGGAAACAGAAGAAGCCAAACTGCTTCTCAGCAGGGTCTGGCACACCCTTAACCAGAAGTCCAAAAAGTTTGGGCGGGATATTCATTTAGCTGCCTCAAATTCTGTTTCTCCCGGGAGGCTGGGAGTGGACTGCAATTCCAAACTGAGAACCCTTTGCGAGCAAGGAAGGACTTCTGAGATCTTTCCTAAGCTGAGGCTTGGCACTCAGGAAGAGGAGTGGGCTGGAGGGAGCCCTGGGGCCCTGTTCCAAGCTTCATACATCCCCTTCAGCCCTTCTCATTCACACCCCTGAGGATCACTTTCTCTCTTCTTGTCCCATTCCTTCCTCCCTCAATGGCCAGATCAGAGAGGATGGCACTGGGGTTGGTCAGAGTTTGAGGGCAGAGGTCAGAGAGAAGCTGGCAGAGAAGAAATCAGAGCTGCAAAAGGGTGGGGCGGGGCGGAGGTCAGGACAAAAGGGGGGCCTGGAGAGGTCAGAGTAGGGTTGGGGCGACAGGTAGACCCCTCGCCACCCCCACTCCTCGAGCTCAGCTCCCTCCACCTGCGCTTCTCCTACCTCCAGACCTGGCCGAGCTGCAGGAAGTGGACGAGGGTCTGCAGCAGCCAGACGCAGAGGCGGCAGCAGCGGCGGCGGTAGGCGCTGGCCGAGGAGGGCGCGGGCTCGGGACCCAGCTGCGGGCTGCCTTCTTTGGTCCGGAAGGCGGCGGCGCTGTCCTTGGTGCTGATGGAGGGCCCTCCGGCCTCGCTGTCCTTGGTGCTGACGGCGGGTCCCGGGGCGCCCGCGGGTTCCGAGTAATCGTAGACGAACCAGCGGAAGCTGAGCAGCTGCACAACCAGCGAGGGCAGGAGCACGAATAACAACGTGAGGCCGAAGTAGGTGTGCTGACCCTGCAGGTAGTAGGAGGCCGCCAGCCACAGGTCCGTGGCGCCGTCGGAGAAGAACACGAGCAGCGTGCACAGCACCCAGCAGCAGTCCCGCAGCTCGTAGCGCGGCCCCGAGCCCCCCGCCCCGGTCACTACAGGGCTCCCGGCCGCCACTGCCGCCGCCTCCCCGCGCCCGCCCGCACCACTCCGGGCTCCTCCGGCCGCCCCCTCCGGCCCCGGGCCGGCCGCGGCCGCCGCTCCATCCGACTTCGCGGCCATGTTGGCGGAGCAGGAGGCGGGGAGCGACTTCCGGGCGGCGGAGGGGGTGGGGTGCGGAGTGGGGAGGACCCTGTGCGGGAGGCTCCCGCCTCCTCCTCTTCCTCCTCTCCTCTTCTTCCTCCTTCCCTCTACTTCAATTATTCATTCCCCTCGGCGCCGCCCCCGTCCCTCCCCCACCCCGCCAGGGCTGCGGCCGGATGGGGGCAGCTCCCCAGGGAAGGGAGGGGGGAAGGGAGGGGAGAGCATCCCAGGTCACCCTCTCCTTCCTTCCTCAGAGGCGTGGGGCCCCAGCCACACGCTTTCTGCCTCTCACCCCCACCCCACTGCACTTCTTTATTTCCCTTTTCTTCACCGCCCCTCTCTCCAAACTCTCCTCTGCCATTTATCTCCTCTGTTTACCTCCAGTGGCCTAGGTCTGAGGAGGGTAGGGGATAGGGACTTGGAAGCAAGGGGCTGCCTAGGCTGGCACCTCAGTAACTCTTTATCAATCACTGGATGCTAACTAGCCATTTCCTAGTTTCCAGAGTGTTTGCATATTGTTCTATCCCTTTCTTTGATCTTGAAGAGTCCTTTTTCCTATTGTCTTTTTCATATTGTTTTGAATGAGAAAATTGCAGCTCTGAGAGCTGCTGTCTCTTCCCCCAACTCTCCCCTTCCCCCAACTCTACCTTTTCCCTCCCTCAGGGACTGTTTTCTTCTGGCCACAGCCCTAGTAGAGTTTGGCAGGGAAGGGGCAACATCAGAGGGAACACCAGGTAGAGGGAAGAGCAAGTAAAAGGTCTGCAGGCCTGAGATTTAAGGGCATATTTTCAAGGAATTCTGAACCACAGATCCAGGGAGGTGGAAAGATGGGGCTGGATAGTTCTGAGGGATGAGATCCTAAATGTCCAAAAGATGTACTTTACCCAGGAAGCAATGGGAAACCACTGCAGAATTTGAGCAGGAGACAAATGTGATCAAGTCTGGATTTGGAAAGAAGCCCCTCTGCAGCCAGAGGAGAGAAATGCTCACTAGGAAACAGCTTGAGGGTGGAGAAGACAGAGAGAGAATATAACAGGAATTTAGGAGAGGAGGTGGGGTTGCTTATACATCCTGGATACCCCAACTCACCCCTAACCCCTATGCTCAGATTGGATGTGTCAGGGCATTTATTGCACAAACACTCATGTAGCAGTTTCTCTTTGCCTAGATCCCTGGAGCCATTATGCAATCACTAACTCACTTGATCCTCCCAATTTGTGAAGTAGTTTCTGTTGTTTACCTCCCATTTTACAGAAGAAGAAATTGAGTCACAGAGAAGTTAATTCATTTGTTTGGAGCCCCACAGTTACTGAGTGCTTGAACCAAATTCAAGCCATCATGTGGCCCTAGAGTAGGCTTTGCTATCTCACAAGGCGAGGAGAGTTTGGTGAGAAGGGGAAGAAGTGAAGAAGGGAGGCTTGAGGACCACCCTGCTTCAGAGTAGCTGGGAAGGGAAGATGAAGGGCGACAGCTGCCCTGGGTCAGGAAGGAGCAGCCATCTGCAGTCCTGCAGCCTAGCATCCCTTTCATGTCCAGGGACTGTTTTGGTCCCAGCAATGCTCAGGAGGTTGGAGAGCCAGCTGTGGCCCAAAGCTGAAAACAGAGTAGGAAGAGTTAGGGATTAAGAGAGTTTTCTAGGCTGGATTCAAAGCTAATAGTCTCTATCCGCAGGCATGTGTAGACTAGTGGGAGTTTTTGTGGGTTGGGCTGGAGGGGAGTCTGAATCCCAAGTGATTTACTTAGGAAGAGTATCTTTTCCCTTTTTTTCCTGTTCTACAGCCTTAAGCAGGGAGACTCATGGAGTGCACAGAGTCCTGGGCAGAGGGAAGCTCTGCCCTTGGACCCCCTAACAGCCCTGGGCCAGTTCTGTAAGTGTCTGGATCTCTGCCTTCTCACAGGTGCCTGGATGGGGCCTGACAGTGAGGTTCTCACTTCTGGGCCCCACCCCAGTGAAGGCAACTTCTCTCCCTCCCATGCCTATCCACATCCTAGGATCAGCCTGTTCAAACAGGCAGTAGATGACATGCTTTTTACGTCTGAGACTCTAGAACCAGGAAGCCTGGGTTCAAAACCTACTCACCTCTTCCTGACTCCATGACCTTGGGCAGTCCCTCAATTTCTCTTAGCTTCAGGGAAAAAAGCAAAATGGCGAAAGGTAACCAATGCTTTCCTTTTGGGGGTGGGGTGAGGATAATTAATGCTAATTTCTATCTAGGGTGATGCCTTCCACTGAAAGCCCTCCTGGATCTCCCACCGAACTGTGCCCCACACCTTATCCCTCAGAGAAATCTCTTTGATACTCCCCTGTTATGAGCTCCGTGACATTTTACTCTTTTCCTTCTTAACATCAGTACACTGGCATTTTAATCTTTTACGTGTGTCTGTTTGGAATTGCCTGGGAGCTCCATAAGAGTTGGGACATTTTATCTATTTTCTTCACTAACAATTGCCAAGTGCCCATTGTTGTGCCTGGCACCCAATAGGCATTTTATAAACATCACTGAATGCATGAGTGAGTGATCAACTCTATGAAATAGTTTCTGTTGTTCTCCCCATTTTATAAACTAGGTAACTGAGGGCAAGGGTGGTGACTCAAGGAACTATCAAGGCCTTGTGTATGTCAGGAATTGTGCTAAGAACTTTATGCATATTACCACAGGTTACCTTCAAACCAGCCCCCCTCTTTTTTTTTTTTTTTAAATCACAAGAAATCTTGAGACCCAGGCAGTTGCTGTCACTTGCCCAAAGCCATTGGTTAGGAACTAGCAGAGTTGGCTTTCAAGAACTCTACTTTAGGCAACTGGAGCGGTGACAGAAGAAGGATTTGATGAGCTGCCTGAAGTGTGGACCAGGTGGGAGTGACCTACCTATCAGTGGTACTGTAGAGGGGGTGGTAACATGACCTGAATGGTTTGAAATGGTGAGTTCTGAATGGCCTGAGATCAAAGGTCAGGGATTCAGACTAGGACCCATAAGAAGGACAGCAATGGCATTTTTGTGGAAGCCGGGGGTGGGGGGGGGCTCAGAACAGCTTGAGCAAAATCTGTGCAATAGGACTGAGTCAGGCTCATTTAAGGGCTGAAAAGAGGCTGGGTGTGACTAGAGTGGAAGGAGAGGGTGGACAGCAGTTTAGATCTGGACAGGCCCTGAGATCTTACCCAGTTCCCCAAGGCCCTCTCACATTTTACAGGTGGGAACACTGAGGCCCAAAGAGAAGTCCCACCTCTAGCAAGTGGCAGAAACCAATCTGGGAGTCTTTCCTTCATCCCCAAGGGAATGGTCTCTGAGCTTTGTTGGGAATCTTGGGAATCACTCTTGGAAGCAAGTTCAATCCATGCTTACTGCACCCTCTACTAGGACCAGTTTCTAATAATATTCCTTTAGTTCTTGGGTAAACTATGTACAAGATAATTGGCACAGCATTGTTTATAACTGCAAATATTGGGAATGACTCAAATGCCTATCGGTCGGGGACCAGCTAAATAAATCATGGACTTTCTGACAACAGAATGGCATATGGCAGTAAGGGAGGTCATGGAGCACTTTGTCTCCTAATACAGAGAGGCCTCCATGGGGACAAGCAAGGGATAGAATGGGGGTGGGGTGGGGAGTGAAGCTGGGTGAAAGGGAGGATAAGAATCTATCTTTGTATTTGTTGTGTATGCACAAGGAAACTTTGGAAGTCTACATAAGAAAATGAGATTATCAAAGAAGGCACAGGGCAGAAGGGAAACAGGATGGGAGAGGGAGACTTCTTTATGTGCCCATTTATAATTTTCTTTTTGGAATCATGGGAATGTATTTACCTATTAATAAAATAAAATAATAATGAGGACAGCTGCTACTCAGCTAAGGCTGAATGGTGTCATATGGGAATAAGCGGTCAGTATGGTCAGATTTTCTAATTACTCAAGAGAAGCCAGAAATCTGGATTTTATTGTACAATCTCTTGATTTTTAAATGTTGGCTCCATTTTTGCTCAGACAATTTTCAGGCCAAGTAAATAGGTCAGTGGGTCAGACATGGCCTGAGGGCCACCAGTTTCAGCCTCTAATGGCTTCCTGCTCCCAGGGCTGGAGTTCTCAACACCCCAGGGCCCCACCCCCACGTGGGCAGCAGAGGACAGAAAAGCGCCTTGTCCTGCCCCCCTCTCCTGGCACCCTCAAACCCTTGCATCTTGGGGCTGCGACATTTGGGGCTCTTAACTCAAGATCTGGAAGGCAGAGAGGGGTTATGAACTCTCAGATAATTCCCTCCCCCAGGGCCCTGCAGGCTTCGAGGCCCAGCTGCCTCCCGCTGCCCACCCATCTGTCCCTGGGAGGTGGGGACTGGAGCGAGGCTGGCAGTGATGGGGGTGGACAGGAGTCCCCGCTCTGAGCCTCGGATCACTGGGCTCTGTCCAGACGCAGAATCCAAAGGAAAAGTCTAGAGACTGTGAGAAAAGGAAAACAGGCTTGGCTGTACCTACTTGGTGTGTGCTGAGTTAATTCACCAAATTACCGAATGCCAGAACTGGAAAGACCCTAGGGGACCATGTCATCCAACTCCTTCACTGCACAGATTGGGAGATGGATCTCTGCTCCCCATTCACTGCCCCAGGCTGTGGTCTTGTCACTTCTCTCCTGGACAACTGGACAGGACCAGCCTCCTCATTGGGCTCCCTGCAGCCCCTTTTTCGCTCCTAATGTTTAGTCTCCACCCTTAGTCAGAGGGATCTTTTTCAAAAAGAAATCTGATCAGGTTCCCTGTCCGCTCAAAACCTTCTGACTACTTCCTACCCTACTTTGAGCCAAAGTCTTCAGCCCAGCCTACAATTTCCTGCTCTCCTCTCTAACCTCACCTCCCCCAGTCTTTCCTTCCTTCATTCTGTTCCAGTCACTGGCTCTTTGCTACTCTCTTACCATCCCAACCTAAACCCTCCTGCCTGGCTTTGTTCCCACAATTCCCCCAAGTATTCACAAGGCTCCATTTTACTCTTC